ACACAATTAAAAGATATAAAAAGCCCTAATTGGACTCTGAATTCTACCATAATAAATATAGGATAAATTAAGGCACTCCCTATCAATCACAAAGTGTCCTAAATTAAGATAGTGGATTTTTTAATAACTCATTTTATTTTAAAATAATTATCTTCTTTTTTTTTGCCATTTCTTCAAATTAAAATTTTGAAGACATTATTTGTATTTATGTATAATATCCTTAAAAAATTAAAAATAAAAATAAATTTTTTGTGATTAAATGATTAATTAAATTGAATGAATAATAATAGGGTTTACTTAAAAAAATATTTTTTTTTATTTTAAAAAATAAAAAAATAATAATTAATTTAAAATAAATTTAAAATAAAAAATAATAACAGTAAATTTGAAATAGGATTTTTCACACTAGGCCCAATCCCACTAAGAAACAAAAAGGGGATTCAGTTATTGGAATTGGAATCTAAATAAAATCTCATGTTCATGCAAACAAGTTTGGACCGGATATGATTTCTTATGGTCTTGGATACTTCTTTTGTTGGGCTAGGTTTTTGAAGATGTCAGGACTGTGCAGGTTCAAGGCTAGTCTTCTAGCCTGCCCAACCCAATTATGAAGAGGAAGAGAGGCGAAGGGATCACCGCCGGCGAGATTTCGATCCCGATTTGGATATCATTCTTTTGAGACTTTTTTTTTTTTTTGAGAGAACAGTCTTTTGAGACTTTCAGTGAACAGACTATTCTTTTTGCTTTGTACTAAACTAGAAACTTCATATCATTTTAGGTCTTTTTGTTTCTCATGCTTACTTGCATTACCAAACGAGTGTTGAGTATGGAAAATGATATAGTTAAAATCTTACATGCTTTATAAATTTACAATTATGATGTATGATTATTTGCTTGATTCTTTTCATTTAGAAGTTTATTACAATATTATATATTACTCTATTTAATAGTATATTATAATTATAAATTTATAATTTTATATGATATTATAATTATAGTATTAGGAATCAAGGATTAATTATATGTTTATTCATGTGATGTTGATCAATAATCATTTTTCAAAATTTAAAAGAAAACTTTTAAGGATTAGTTACTTCATTTTTATGGGGTAAAAATAATATTTTTATTTAGGACTACAAAATTTTTTTGTATCGGATTGATTCCAAAAACATAGTTCATTTACTTGTTGTATTATTGAAAAATAATTAGTACACCCACCAACATCTATTAATTCAATTATTAAATTTTACAATTGAAACTTTTTCTAAAGTCAAATTTAAAAATAATAATTTTTTAATAAGTATATTAAATTTGAGAATATATCAATAATTATCCTATATTATTAATAAGATCCAATTGTTTACAATCATACTCATCTAAACAGTATTTAAGATCATGATTCATTTTACATATGATAATGGGTGGACCTAGTTGCATACAGTGAATATAAAGAAACTTATTTTGTAAAAATTTAAAATTGAGGAGTTTCACCTTTAAAAACCTTCATTAAGAGATTTGAGTTCTAAGCCTGCCTCTATTACGGTGAAAACATAAAAGTTTGAGACTCCAATTTAGTACCTTATAGCTCATAAGGTCACCATAAAAAAATAAAAAGGAAAAAAGGCAGTAGTCTCTGTATTCTGAATGCAAACATTTGGATCTATACTGAATCTCATATGGTCCCAAAACCTCATTTAGAACCGCTTGCAGTGCGACATTTGAAGATCCAAGAAAACAGAATCATATCATATCTGCTTCATCAATTAAAAAACATCGACTTCTAACACAAGGTCCTCAAACATTATGTAACACTCTTCAATCTCATATTTCTCTACCCCCAACCAAGAAAAACAATGAAACCAATCGGGTAACAATCAGCTGAAGAAACTATAAGCTATCAATTGGATTTTTCTTTCACAGGAAGATTATTGTACCTAATTACCAAGTACTCTCAAACTTCCATTTGATCAAACAAGAAGACAGGACTGATTTCCCAAACAGCCACCTCACACCTAACTAAAACATTCGAAGATTGAAAATTTAATGCCATTACTCGTTGCAAATAAGTTGTACTCTTCAATTCTAGTCTCTTTGTTACTGCTAGCATGACCATTGTCAACATGATCTGCTGACAAGTGAGAAGACAATTCTCCAATAATCCCGTCTTTTGAATTCACAAAATTGGATTTACATCCTGTTGAAAGAGCTATAGGCCCATCAAAATGGAACAAGGAGAAGCTATTATTACCCGTTTGCAATTTGGCAGAATTATCAGTTTGCCCACCTTCTCCAAATGCTGCTGTTTCTGTTGGAAGTGTCTTGGCAGGGGTTACTCTCTCTGAATTTGGGCCAACAGGAGTTTCTTTGGCTGCGACTGGCTTAGATATCTGAGTTTGCTCCTCAGAATGAAAGCCATTGGCTTTTGAAACAGGCTGACAAACCAGATCAGGGCCAGGATTGAAGAGGGGAGTATTTAGATGGGGTAGAGAACTGTACTGCATGCATAAGTATGAATTCGCATTCAAACCACAACCAAGAGATCCAGCATACAAATAGCGGTTTGAAGGAGGAAAGGTCATTAATCCATTAGCTGGAGTTGCAGGCCAAGTAACAGGGTTTTGATGGTAGTACCCCATTGTTGAAGGAGCTTGATATACTGGAAATTGTGTATGCTGGTTATGCATTGGTGGAAACACACCATGATGTTGAACACTCATACTAGCAGTTGAGATTCCATTTTCAGGATTTGCTGCAGTTTTTAGCTGCATATTTCCAGAGATTCTGCTTCCTGTGCCATCCAGTGACTTTAATAAAGCCAGAGTTTCACCTCCATTAATATTCTGCTTCTTATCCATTCCTTGTTCCTGACACTCATAAAAGCCATTTAGAGTGCCTAATGAAGCATCTCTCACATCTGATTGTTGACTAGCATCTTCAGAATCTGAAGTCAATGAAGAATCCATGTTTCCGATGTTTGAGGAGGCTGTATTGCTCTCTCCTTCACTAAGGCAAGAAAAGCAGTTATCAGAATTGGAAGTACTACCCATCATAGAATTGGAAGACATATTCAAGGTAGGGCTTCTAGCAGGAGACAATCCATCTTCCTCATAACAAGCCTCAACTGAGATGCATGAGTCCTGTCCTTCCTCCTGAAGTTCATTTTGACAGTCTCCATTCCTCGCAAGGCTACAGTTTCTCCATTTGGTAGCTTTACTATCCGCTTGATCGATTTCACCTGAATTTCCACTAGCATTACCAGAACATACATCCCCACTTGTCATGACACTTCCAGATGACTTAACAATGTTATTATCAGGTCCAACTCCTTGAACGTTGAAGGTAGATGACCTCAAGGTAACATCTGAATCTGAGTTGCTCCGACGGTACTTTTGTGATTCTGTCAGCCCCCAAACTTTCTTCTGGTGATGTAAATCACGACCAGAAGAATTGTTTCCCCAGATCATTTTGCCTTTTACTCTTCCACAACCTTCACGCATGTATTCCACTTGATTATACTTGTTACTGCGATAGACTTGCCTGGACATATCCAATGCAGATTCTGACTTGCTCACAGATCTAGACTCTCGGCCTGCTCTTGTTGCAGAACCATGTGACTCACCCTTTGCCCTGTATTCATTTTGTTGGCTACAGCTACAAGAATAAGATTCATATCTGTCGCCCTTATTATTGGAACACTGAAACTTCTCACTATACTTGTGACCACATGTTCGACTATTGGACTTTGTGCTGTTTATCCTTAGTTGCCTATTTGATCCATTAATTCCCCTGGAAGGGACTTCAAAGTTTACACTCCGATATCTTGAGTCAGATCTATTGATGGGACCAATTTCGGAAACAGTTGCAAATCGTCGCCTGTCAGACCATTTCACAGATGGGTCAAATTCAGTTTCCTTCTGGACTTTAAATCTCCAATGAGAAAACTTTGATTCCTCCATTGTAAAAGAGCCACTCCCATCTTTGATTTTTGTAACTATGCTGTCAGGACCATCAAAAGAGTGATTTTCCAAACTTGAAGTGCAGTCATTTAGAAACTCTTCTTGAATATGAGGAGATCCAGACCTGGATAGATTAATTTCACTGACAGAGTCTCTGCAGTTCATTGTATTACTGGGTTCTTCTTCAAGCATTGGTAAAGATTCTTTCTTTGAGACATCAGGGGGAACAGATGTATGATTAGATTCTGGGCATCTTTTTTCTTTTTCTTTTTCTTTCTCCTTCAATCTCTCCCTTCTTCTGAGCTTTTTCTCTCGTTCTTTTGTTCTTCTTTTCTCTTTGCGTTCCTCTTCTTCACGCCTTTCTTTCTCCTCTTCTTCAAGAAGTTTCATCTGTTGAAATGACACGGGTGTTAGAATTATGTCCAAAGGGTGGGTTTGCCTCCAATTTGTCAATAATATGTGAGAAGGAAATTCTTTCCTTAAATATCATCAATTTCTCAGACCTGTTTTTCTAATGTAATAATTTCCTTGCATGCAACATGAATGCGTTCCTCCAGGAGCTCTAGTGCAAGACAAACAAAGATACTATGTGCATTTTGGCGTGCTGTACCTTCCCTGAAAGCCTTTTCAACCTGAAATTATTCCAAAAAGGAAATATTTGTTCATAATATGTTGCATTTGTGCTCATGTGAAAAACACAGTAACACATAAGACAACCATATTTGTATAAGCATAAAGACAAAGCCTACACAGTACACATGGTTTAACAGATAAAACATGCCTGTTCCTTAAATATAACTGTTGCCGCATCTAGAAGAAATTCTCGAGCAAGTTCAGGACTCTTCGCATGCTTTTGGGGACGGGAGCATTCTCCATCCAGCTCATTGCCGTCCTTGTCCATCGAATCATCATCCTGAAAGTAAAAAATGATTGTGAAACCTAAGTAATTTCCAATGTCAGAAAGATTTTAACAAACTAGGTTGTAATGAGAGTAAAATGACTGATAACCTAACAAAAACATAGTTCATATGCCTCAAAATCCTGTGTACCTCTTCTTCCTCGACCTCCTCGGCATGCTCAAAAAATCTTCTGATACTTTCACCTCTTGTGATTGTAACATAACCATCCCCAACTACAAGCCTATAATGCACGCATTGTTGTCCCTTTAATGCATTAGCTTTGACAGAAAGCTCAGTGCAGCGGCCATCCAATTTCCAAGCCCTCAGGGTAATATAACATGCACTCAAACCTCCAAGATCCAGGCCATTGACTTGAACACTTCCTTTCATACCAACATTTTCAAATTCCATAATGTCACATTTTCCTTCTCCAGTTCCAATTGCCCACTCAAAGAGATGGTAAGTCCCAACTGCGTCAGCAAAAGTTTGGCACCAATCAGCCTGGACTGTGTTGTCAGATACCTGGAGGAACAGGAAGCAAAGTTGTTTAGATGACATGAAAATTGAATTCCCACAACAATCAAATTAAATCTAACTAATTACTCTCTCAATACAATAATTTCATCAATTTATTGTTTTCAGGGAACCTCGAGAGAGATGTAAGCTAGATCCTAGACTTCATTGTGTCTCAATTTACTTCCCAACCTTATTATTTGGTTACAGCTGGGTCTCCATGTTAGCTTTCACTAGAATACCCTAGTGGCACCTTCATGGGCCATGCTTTTACATGGCAACTAGCAATGAATTTAAGTCAGATCCACGTGGGCATCCAAAGCTAAAGTTAAATGCAAAGGAGGATCCAATTACAGTCAAATAATAAAGTTGGGAACTAATTTGAGACAAAATAATGGTTGAGAACTAATTTTGACCACTATTAAAAGGTTGAGGACTAAAGCTAAATCTACCTTGTTTCACTAGATTAAATGTTGAAAGAAAAGAATAATAAAGCTGATTAGTGGTTAAGGGTTAAAAATATGCATGGTGAACCTCATACTGAAATGCTGTATCTGGGACACAGAACCAACTAGTGCAGCGGGGTTCTCTACGCATGCGCTTCAGCTCCTTCAGCTCCTTGAATTCACGGATAACATTCCTTCTGCAATCTCTACAAAACCGCTTGCTGTCAAACCTGTGACAAAGACGTAAAATGAGATCTACATAAAACAAAACAGCAGGACTAAACACAAGCAGCACAGAGAAGGTACCACCAAGAAAAAATAATGAGCAACAGTTGATAAGGGCATTCTTCCTAGGCACAAGAAAGAAAGATTACTGAGTAATGTTTGGGTCTATGCCTAATAAAAAAATATCCATAAAATTTATAAGAGACCCTAGCTCCTACCAAATGTTGGAACAATTATGAGCTTTTGTAAAAACCTTCAAAACATCGACTTCTGCTCAAAGTTATTCGGGAGGAGGAACAACAAGAACAACAAAGCAAACAAATTTCATTTTAGCCAACAAAAGCCAAATCATAAAGCATGCTATTATACAGTTTGTCATTGAATGACATTTCATTTAAGAGATTGCAAACCCGATTCCCTCTTTTGTTTTACCCCCATTCTTGCAACTAGGATCATCAGATGTTCAATCTAATTTACTCAACCAGGAGACATCCTTAATTTTCAGAGAACATGAGATTATCTAAAACTTTCCAAGTATCTATAATGGCATCAAATAAAGCATTTATCATCTCCTTCTTAATTACCACCCCCGCAATCAGCATCTACACAGCTCCAATATATGCTGCTTCATCAATGACGCATCAGGTCTAACGCTGTTCTTCCAACAGATTATACAGAAAATGCTATGCAAAAGTTGAAGAAGGAGCTGAATGCACACCTATACATAAGCTTCTCAATGAAATCTTCTTCTTTCATTCTTAAAAGAGACTGCTGAGTTTCTTCTCCAAGAGCTGACCAGAAATCATGCAATGTATCACAAGAAAGCCTGGCAGTGTGCAGTGCACATGTTTCTCTTGTTCCATGTCCCCTGCCATAACTTGCAATTCCTTGGCTTATCCAACCACGACCTCCACCACCACAAGCATCGGGATAAAGTAATTCACGCTCCCTCTCCCTTAATCGTGCACTGTCAAACACCTGATTCCATGGAAATATCAACAACTAGATGAAAAGAAAATGATAAATCTGAGATAATAATTGGATCAGCACTAACATTTTGTAGTCCATTGAGGGACTTTGAGTACAAATAGCAATCCAGAATTGTCAGTGATCCATCACGAGTTGTGGTCAGACCTCCCCAAGAATAGACAGATGGACCTTGAGTTTCTTCTTGCAACCCATTTGTCAAACTTGATCCACTGTCATTCTGATTTTTTGAGACTCCTGTTCTATTGCAAGGAAGGATACTAATTGCTCCATCCTGCTGTAAAGATTTTCCATGCATGACAATCTGCAAAAACACTTCAAGCAGCAGCCCATTGCATCTGGAGCAGTACATATTCTTCCGAGCCTGCTCAAAGAGGGCTTGCTTGTCAATCCTAAGAAGCTCCTGCCGAGCCTGTGGTGTGAGCTCACTCCAGAACTACAATACAAAATATAGCAGCATGTTATTATAGATTGGTCACTAAGTTCTACAACAGCAACCATATATAAGATACTATAGCAGAAAATAATAATATTAATAATAATAAAAGATGTTTGAAGATACTTGCTAATGACATCCTAAGGAAAATAATTTGCAGTAATCTGCTTGCTTTTTAATCACAAACAAGCAGAATTCCCACAACCCCCAGTTTTATATTTCACAATTAGCCTCCGTTTCTTTACTGATGGTCCAAGTAATCAACAGGCACCCTGAAAAGAGCCCAATCATCTTGAGGTCCACCAGAACACATATTCCTCTCCTACTAATACCATCAAAGCTTTACTCAAACTGCCAATTCTTTTATCTCTTAGTATTCATATGCAAAACTAGGAAGAGCACTAAGGTTGAAAGGTGCCTTCCCCGGAAATGTAATAGTGAAACATTATCCCCATACCTAAAGTCCTTGCATAAATGGTACATACTATATAACACCAAAAGAACATCATAAATAGTATGTACCAGAGACAACAAATCCTTTAGAAACACTTGTGAGAGCCAGAAAACAGCATAGAGAAACATAAGGTGGATCCAAAATAGAAAAACACTCGCAATCCAATCAACCCCAGAACAATTATTCTAAAAACAACCTGCACTAAATGACTTGAACGGCAAGATCCAATCCAAACTCAAACTACCCATCAAAATACACACAAAAGTCAATCCCAAACACTGATCCAATCCAAACCCAGAACAAAACAATCACATTACAGTTAGAAAAAAAGGGAAAAATACCAAAAACCCAATACCTTCTGCAGCTGATTGCAACTAACATCATCGCTATGCTTTGACCAGAACCCAAATGATGCATTGTTATATTGGTCATTCCTACGTGCTAATCCGGGCATCTTTCAGATTTAGACTCTCGTAGATTCATTAACCAAAATTTTCCATTCCCTTTACCTCAATTCCAGTAAATTAATGGATCCAAAACCTATGGAATTCGATTGAATTCTACAAATTCTACCAATTAATTGCGCGATTGAATCAAGAAAAACGTAATTCAAAGGATCGTTGAAAAATGGGTTGTTTCAGGATCGATATGGGTTGATTTTGATTGGATTTAAATGGGGAGAGGAGAGATCGAGAAGAGTGAAGAATTGGCAAGGGAATTGAAATGGGGTTTTTGGGTTGATGAAGATGAGACTTGGTACCGTGTTTATATTTGTCTGAGAGATGAGAGATTTGTGAGGCTTGAAATGGAGAAAAAGGACCACGGTTAAATTCGAGGGCTCAATTGTTATATTTTAATTTTAACAGGGTCGGGTAAAAGCTATACTTTTTTATTAAAATTCTAATAAAATTATAAACTTGCCATAATGAATTTTATGTAAATTACTAAGATTTACATTTTAAGAACATTATTACTTTTTCTATCATTTTTTCTGTAATTTCAATTACAAGATAATATCAAGAATGTGATAATATAATAAGGCAAGAAATATGGTAATATAAAAGTAAGTAACAATATTAGTGATCCATGTATTGATAAACATTTAACAATTCTGCCCTAATTCTTAAGAAGCATACCTTCCACATATTTTGGTATTTGAACTTGTAGAAGACTTATATTTGTTGTATCAATCCCCCTTTGAGCCCTCTCCCATTGTAATGCCCAAAAAAACTAGTAATGTAGTATTTAAATTTTTGTAAAAGAAAAAGAGAGACGTTTATTTCTTATTGTACATAACCATAAATGAATGACAATGGTTATAGTCACCGTTCAATTTGTTAACATTATTAATAATTGTTAAATTTTTATTATAATTTGATTGTTAAAAATAGATGATAATTAATAAAATAATTAATATTTATTATTTAGCAAATTAAAATTAATTTATAAATAAATTAAATACTCTCAAATATTATATCAATTGTTTTAAAAAATTATGTGCTGATGAAATTAAAAATAAATTAGCGTTCTTAACAACTTAAATAGTGACAATAACTAAGCCATAAATGAATGTATGTATAATTATTTTTCTTCATGTGCCTTCTCATTTTTTCTCTTTTTTCTTTCTTTTGCATTGACTTTGAATTTTTCTTTTTTTTGGGGGAGAGGGGCATTGAATTTGAAAATTGATGTAGTTTTATTTTGATTTGTAGTGTACAATTTTTATACTTCATAAAAGTACAACTAAATTTCGCCCCAAAAAATATATAAAAAAATCACAAGATCTTATTGATATACCATTTTCAATTGAGAAATACAAAATATATTAACATAAGACAAAAATCCAACAATTTTAATTATTAATAAATAAATTTCATTTAAAAGTTTCAACATCGTGAGTAGTTATGTTGTCATGATTTTGAACCCTTCAAGGGACTGATTGGAAATTTGGAGGCATAATATGCACGTGCCATATATCTAGTATGAGATCTGGATTCTACTTGGAAATGTTATTTTTTTTAATTTATACGTGCTAAAATTTTAATTAGTCTTATATAAAAAAAATTTATTTTATAATATTAATTAGTGCTTAAGAACTCTCATAGTTTAATAATAAATGAATAGGTTCAAAGTGATTAAAATATTAATATTTGAAATTACTCGTACCATTCATACATGAACATTTAGCCATAATTAGTTGGTGAAACCTTAATCCGATAGTATATAATGTATTAATCTTATAAAAAATAATAATTAATTAATAGATTAAGACAAGAAGAGATTCAATACTTGAATCCAATAATACTTTTTAACATTTTAGACGAAATGCATGCATAAATTTTGTAAATACTATGTAGAAAAGAAACCCTAATAAAGTTCAAGATAACAAATTAAATACATGTATAAAATTTTCCTTTAGCTTTATAAATATTTATACTAATAGAAAATATGGTACAATTGACATGCAACTATTTTTTTAAAGAAACTTGGTTTTTTATCTCAAAAAAAAAATTGCATTATAATGACACATATAAATAATCCTACGCAAAACGACATTTAAACTCACAATCTCAATGATGTTCACCTTGCAGGAGGCTTGGTTTTGGGTTGTGTATTCGTTTTTAATAATGGAATATGTGTCATTAACAAAACTCATTACTCCTTTTCTC